ACAACACGTACTCCAAGCAGTAAGCTCCACTAGACCACTAGTATCCTTTCTTGATGTCATTATCAATACAGCCAACACAAATTGCAGCCAAATTGGGTGATCCCGGCGCCGAATTCAGCTCCCTCCAATCCTTATTTAAACCTTCCAAAGTCTAATATCTTCTTCGCACCACAACCAAACTTTCTCTCTTCTAATTAATCTCATCTTCTCTTAGCAAGCCATGAACTGCCTTCTGAGTTGGCCTGAGCCCGTAGTCCGGGTTCAATCCCTATCTGAGAGCGGCCTACAGACGATCCCGGAACGTTATGTTAAGCCACTCTCTGATCGCCCCTTGATGATCAATACTTCTCCGCTCACAATCATAGAGGAAAATATTCCCCTAATTGATCTCCAACATCTTTTCAGCAATGACCGGGCCATTCGTGCCAAGACCCTGAGCAGCATCTCCAGGGCGTGCCAGGAGTGGGGGTTCTTCCAAGTGGTGAACCACGGTGTGAACCCTGGGCTAATGAGGCGCATCTGTGAGTTGTGGCGTGAGTTCTTCAATCAACCGCTTGAAGTGAAGCAGGAGTGTGCAAACGATCCGAGCACCTATGAGGGGTATGGAAGCAGGCTGGGAGTGGAGAAGGGGGCGATCCTTGATTGGAGTGACTACTTCTTCCTCCATTTCATGCCTGCATCGTTGAGGAACGAAAGCAAGTGGCCTGCAATGCCCCAGTCTTTGAGGTTTGCATCATCCGCCCTTGAAACATATTCTAATTAAGTACCATGCTAATGTCCTCTGCCTCTGTCATTTTTATTTTTTTTTTTCACTTTATATGTGAAAGAGGTGTTTTTAAGTACGATATTATATTTTTTTTTTATAATTTTGATATAAAAATTATCATAATATTTTTAATAAAAAGATATTTATATTTTTATTAAAAATATTATGGTAATTTTAATATCAAGATTTCACAAAAAAAAAAAAAAAACATTTCATACTAAAAAATACCTTTATGTTAGATATATACTAACTATTCTCAAAGTTGATGTGTCTCTTTACAAGATTTTCGATTAACACGTAAATTGTTGTGGTCAGTAAATGTGGACACCTATAAGACCAACGAATTAGACGAAACTAGACTTTTAAATGCATGATGACATCTAATATATATGTACCGTGCCCCTGTTTTTCTTGTTTTACATATGTATCATGCCTTA